TGCTCTCAAGTTCCTCACCAAAGCTCGCTGCCTTGACCCCAGTCTTGCCGTTGATGATCTATTGGTAACAGCTGGAAAGGATTCTGATGATCAATTGGTGCCAAACTCAGGGGCAGATGCGCGCGATGGTGGAGTGGTTTGAGTGGCCGATCACAAGAAGGTGAGAGAGCAGCGGCAGAGTCAATGATGAACGGAAGTCAAAATGGAGGCTTCATCGCCGTCCGTGTGCGGAAAGAATGCAAAATTTGAAATTGAAATTCATGGGATTAAGGATAAATTTTAAATACATGGTTTTTAAACCTTTAAAATAAATATATGTATTTTACTTAAATTTAATTGTATTTTATTTATATAAAAATAAACAGTAATATTAAATTTAAGAATTAAAATTTAAACATATTTTATCATAATCATGTTCTCAAACAAAACATTAAGGAAGTGCACATATTTTGCAAGCGTGATTGAGTTGGCAAACCTTAGTGGAGAACAAGGACAAGTGATAAGATCCGGAGGAAGTTTTGACCAAGTTTACTGTGATGCGTTTAACTTTCCCAGGCAACCACCCACGATTTGCAGAAAGTGGGCAGTTTCAGGCTTCCGTGGAACAAATAAAAGAGAGTTTCTAATTATTTAACACACGGCCGGCTAACCATATATGCAACCTGATAGATGCTCTTTAGTTGTTAGTTCTTTGTAGTAATTGCTCATTGCTGCTCTATATATTTCAGTTTTTAATAAACAACAAGCTTTTTGATTTTTGTTAGGTATTGCATCTTTTTTGACTTATTAATTTATCTTTTATTCATATTAGTTTTATGATCAATTTAGCTTCAATCAAATTCAATATCTTGTTTATATTTCCAGATGTGCAGTAGCATAATTTCCAATTCTAATTGTAGTTTGTAGCTTAATCTGGTGGCGGTTATATTTCTCGTCCTCATGGTCAATACAACAATCCATATCAACCTACCGTGTAACATGTCATCCATAACACATTAGCTGGTAATAAGAAGAAAGATGATCTGGTTGAAGCCTTTGGAAGTATGAGCATTTGTTCTGTCGATGATGAGACTAAAACCAATATGGCAATTGTGCCTGTTTATGGAAAACCCTTGGACACTTGCATGATGGAATTCCTTCCTTTGCCTACTTTCAATATGTAAGGCGTGTTAGTACTCTTGTAGTTGAGCTTGTGGAAGGATGGTTCAACATGCATTTTTATATCTCTTGAAGCCGTGGCTACAAGAAGGATGGTTCAACAAGCATCAACAAGCATTTTTATATTTCTTGAAGCTTTACTATCATAATGAATAATGTTTTCAATTTTTTCAAATTCAATAAGACATGTTACACTCCGTACAAACCATTGAATTTACATGCATTATATTAAAATTCCAATATGTTTTATCCACATTTATTTTGCCAAATACCTTTTCAAAAAGTTCACTCAATTCTTGTTCATACTACCTTGCTTATTTGCTCACATTTTCTCTTTTACTGATGATGAATCCAAAAATAGTTATGGCATTCTTGAAATGACTTGGCTCCAATTCCAAAAGACCAATCTATGTTGTGGAAGATAAAGAGGAATTAGAACCGGACCTTTAGGTCCAATGGTTCGACCCCAAGCCTTAAGTGCTTGGGTGAGGTGGTCAGAGTTTCGAGCCCTACTACCGTCGTGAACTCTACCAAAAGCGACTTGATGGCCGCGTGAATGAGAGGATTGAATGTTCACTCGATCTGGGAATCGAATCCCTAGTTGCTAACAA